CTCCCACGCCTCTACCCTTGCGCCCCCCTCCTCCGCTGCCTCCACCGCCTCCTCCTCCTCCTCCTCCTCCTCCTCCTCCTTCCCCCCTCTTCCTCTATCCCTGATGATGTTGCCTAGACAGGTCATGCAACACCTTCAAGCAAAGAACCAAGCTCAGAGACCACCAGGCATACTTGTGGAGTCTCGTATATTCTCTCCTGTCAACACAGCAGTGACGCTCAAGGTTATAGACACTCAAGAGAGATTCCAAACATGTTCAAATCGCGACATGAAGTGGCACAGAAACCGCAACCCTCCCAATTCCCTGCGTATATACCTGCGGTTTCGTTCATGTGCAGCTGGATCTCTTCTAAGCAGTCAGTTTCATTCTGTTTCCACTCTGTGATGGCGACACAGTCTGGTTCAAGGGTCCCCAGGGACTAGAAATAATAAATGGAAAGTGACATCCCATCCTCACCCTAAAACGGAAACCTAAAACTAAGTAGAAAACCCGTAATCGTCAGAACAATTAATCAGTGGAACAAATTAACTTCGGAAGTTGTGGGTTGCCCCATCAATGGAGGCTTTTAAGAAGAGGCTGGACAGCCATTTGTCAAAAATAGTATAGTGTGAGCAAGCAGGGGGCTCTACTAGATGACCTCCAAGGTCCCTTCCAACTCTATTCCTATTAATAATACAGCACAGGTACACGAAAGAACAAAAGCCATTTAAAACCCTTACAGTTCGTCCTTGAATTACGACCACAGTTCAGTCCAAATTTTTGTTCCTAAGCAAGACATTTGTTAACTGAATTTCACCCAGTTTTACGACCTTTTGTTGCCACAGTTGTTAAGTGAGTCACTGCAGGTTAAGTTAGTCACATGGTTGTAAAGTGAATCTGGCTTCCCCATTGACTTTGCTTGCCAAAAGGTCACAAAAGGGGATCACGTAACCTCAGGACACTGCAACCGTCATAAATATGAGTCCGTTGCGAAGTGAATTTTGATCACGTGACCACGGGGGTGTCACATAAGTGTGAAAAATGATAATAAGTTACTTTTTTCAGTGCCGTTGTAACTTTGAACTAAAGGAACTGTCGTAACTTGAGGACTGCCTGTACACATTTTACCCCTGAGACCCTGATCCGAGGATATTTCCTTTCTGCTGGAATACAAGTTATCAAGAACTGGCGTGTTTTTGAAATTCCCCAAATTCAGAGAAGAGAAAAAAAGGTGATTTGGAAAATCGGTATAAGGAGACAGATGGCAAAATCTCTGTAGGTTTCTCCTAAAGGAAAAAAAAAAAATCATTCTGCAATGCTATTTATACACATAATCTATAGACTTCAGTACTGGCAAAAAAAAACAAACCCAAAATGCAGTTACAGATAGTCCTCAACTTACGATTATAATGGAGACAGGAATTTCCATTGGTAAGCAAGGCAGTTGTTAAGAGAGTCATACCAATGTTACGAACTTTTATACCAAGCTTGTTTTGCCATTTTGTTAATGTCATTTTATGAACATCATGTTGATATCCATCAGATCTTTCTTGGTCAATTGTCCCTTGTCTGGAGGACACATCTTATAAAGATCATGATGAGATTCCATCAGATCTTTCTTGGTCAGTTGTCCAATGTTTAGATGACATTAGTGAAGAAAGCCAGTTCCCCAACATAGACATCTGGTAGAAGATGTCACAATTCATATAAATGACAACATTTGCATCTTTTGCACACAATTATATCACAAATGCGCAAGATGACAGTGGCTTCCTTCTTTTTCCCTGACATTTCAAGACAGACTAATGTACAATCTAGCAAAACTTGTAAACATGAACTAAAATAAGGAAAAAATATTGCAGTTCTGATTTTTTTTAACCCTTATCATCTGGACAGATAGCCCCCTCTCAAAAAAAAGAGCTAAAATCGAAACCATATCACTGCAAAGTTGGGGTTTTTTTTTTTTTTAAAAAAAATGTTAATGACAATTTGAGCTTGTCAGAAGTTTTTCCTGTTACTTTTGACTCACTCTTTGAGATGTGCCCGGTTAACAAATCAAACTTCAAGCCAGCAACAAGAATTATAAAGCAATCTAATAATATAGAATAAGAGAGAGAGAGATGATAGTTGAGAGAAAGAGATGATAGATAGATGAGAGAGAGAGAGATGAGAGAGAAAAAGAGAGAGAAAGAGAGAGAAATGGGGGGGGGACCCTGAATTTTTATTTTTAATAACTTTTTCACCCTTCCAGCCTCAATTTACCCCTGTCAAAGAAATTAACTGAATGATGATTTTCAACAATCCCCCCATCCTTTCGACCCTTAACTTTAACCCCATAGGGAGTGGGGAACAAAGCTGAATTTTGAAGCAGATTTTATGTCTGGTTGCTCTAAAAAAACAAAAAACCCACCAAACTGTTCTTCCCTTCCAGTTTTTCATTCAATCGAAGCAGCCAGGAAGGTACAGTTTGTCAAAAGTAGTTGCTCCATGTTTTTTCCTTGTTCATGGAGTTTGTCTGTTATCTTTTCCACCTCTCAACCGCCCAAATCTCCCTGGAGGAGGTTTTCATTGATTTATTTCAAACATACAGTCTATTTTTAGACAAGTAAGAAGCTGTCAGGGAAGCACTCGAGAGAGGATTTGGGGGCTGTTCAACTACATCTGTGATTTTTTTTTGTTGTCAGAAAGGAATCTTATAATATTATCAGCAGCATCACAGAGTGAGAAGGTACCTTGAAGGTCTTCTAGTCCAACCCCTGCTCAGGCAGGAAACCCTATAACCATTTCAGACAAATGGTTATCCAGTGTCTTTTAAAAAAACCAAAAAACCTCCAGTGTTTGGAGAACTTGTCCCACTGATTAATTGTTCTCACTGTCTAGAAATTCTTCCTTAGTTCTAGGTTGCTTCTCTCCTGGATTAGTTTCCATCCATTAATTCTTGTGCTGAATTCAGGTTCTTTGGAGAATAGACTGACTCTCTCTTCTTTGTGGCAGCCCCTCAAATATTGGAAGACTGCTATCATGCTATCTCTAATCCTTCTTTTCATTAAACTAAATATTACCCAATTCCTGCAACTGTTTCTTCATATGTTTTTAGTCCCCTAATCATCTTTGTTGCTCTTCTCTGCACTTTTTCCCTAGGATCTCAACATCATTTTTACATTGTGGCAACCGGAACCGGATGCAGTATTCCCAAGTATGTGTTTTCCCTGGTGCATGGTTTTTATTCATTTATTTATCCTTCACATCTCAGAACTGCCCTTCTCCTTCAAACTGAGATTCTGTTTCGTTTAAATTTCAAATATACAGCCTATTTTTAGACAAATCAGAAACTGTTTTGTGGTGGCACTCAGGGGACAGGGCACGTGTTCTATGTCTCTGGTATGGTAGAAAGTTTATACCTCCTATAATATCCTCTTCCTCCTGCTTCTCCTACTTTAAATTGACCAGCAAGGCAGAAACTTTCTCTTTTAGGTACTACATTAAGCAATAAAATTCTAGGCATCCAACCATCTCAATTACCAAATTCTCAGTCCATGCCAACCCATCCTGGCTTAATCTCTGATTCCCCATAACCTCATAAATCTTCTCAATTATTTGCAACCTCTGCAAAAAAAATAACTGTAGGGTTTTCTGTTGTGGTGTTGGTATTGCTCAAAATATTTCTCAATATGCAGAGATCATCCAGATCCATCTTTTTTCTTCCTCGAAAGTGCCTCTCTGAGTCGTTCCCCCCCCCCAATAATTCTGCCCACTGAAATATTATGCTCTTGTACATATTTGCAAACAGACCCACGAGGGAAAAAGTAAGGGGAAAGAAATAAGCAATTTAAAACCTCTTACTTACCAGGGGTGGCAGAATCAGTAGAGATAATACACAGAACCATCCTTGCTTTGGAGACTTCATGTCAACACGAAGGAATTTTGCTCTGTTGTCACTTGGTCCCTTGCTAATATGAGGAACTGGATGGTGGGGTTGTTTGGTACACAAGTAATGTGAAGGATAAGCAAGGTGTGAGGTCTTACTCACAACTCCCCAATCTGCAGCTGGCTGGCTGTCCACCAGCAGTTGAATTAAAAGCTCTGCTGGTTACTTGCAAAGAGAGTGGGTGGGTTCCTCTCAATCCACATGAATAACCATCAGGGGATGACAAACAAACTGGGTTGAGTTAACAGGTGTCATCTGAAGTTAGGCAACTTTTCCCAAGCACACACAAAACGTATTAGAGAGTGCTTGGTCGAGGGATCTAAAAAAAAAACAACACCCAACAACAACACAGCAAGCTGAGCTGAGCTGGGGACAAGCTGAGCTATGGTTTTGTAAGCAAACATTACTTTCCTGATGAAACTTCAGTGGGGTTTTACTTTTTTATAATTACATTTAGAATCATGGGGCTGGAAGGGTCCTTAGAGGTCTTCTAGTCTGACCCCAAGGCAGAGGAACTTATACTTTCAACCTAACTTTTTCTTCCTCTTTTTTTACCTGCTAATAATGTTATTAGACTTTTAAAGAAAGAAGATCAAAAGCAACAGAAAGTAATATTTAAGGGAGGGAGGAGGGAAGGAAGGAAGGAAAAGGAAGAGACAGGGAAGGAGGGAGGGAGGAAGGGAGGGGGAAGGAAGGTAGGAAGAAGGGAGGGAAGGAAGGAAAAGAAAGAGACAGGGAGAGAGGAAGGAGAGAAGGAAAGAAGGAAGGAAAATAGCAATACCACTTAAACTTATATACTTCTTCATAGTGCTTTACAGCCCTCTCTAAGCAGTTTTACAGAGTCAGCCTCTTGCCCCCAACAATCTGGGTCCTCATTTTACCCACCTCGGAAGGAGGGAAGGCTGAATGGTGAGATTCGAACTGCCAAATTGCAGGCAGCCGGCAGACAGCAGAAGTAGCCTGCAGTACTGCACTCTAACCACTGTGCCACCGTGGTTAGTGGAGCAGTCAAACCCTGGTAGCTCAACTGGCTGAAACAGCGAAACTGGTAGTCCTCAACTTATGACCACAACGGAGTCTGAAATTTTAGCTGCTAAGAGAGACAATTGTTAAACAAGTTTTGCCCCATTTTATGACCTTTCTTGCCACCATTGTTAAGCGAATCACTGCACTTGTTAAGTTAGTAACATGCTTGTTAAGCGAATCTGGCTTCCCCATTGACTTTGCTTGTCAGAAAGTCGTAAAAAGGGATCACGTGACCTTGGAACACTGCAACCGTCATAAATATGAGTCGGTTGCCAAGCACCTGAATTTTGATCACATGACTGTGGAGATGCTGTAATGGTCGTAAGTGTGAAAAACGGACCTAAGTCACTTTTTTTTTCAATGCCATTGTAAACTTTGAACAGTCACTAAATGGTTTATTGTCAAGCACTACCTATAAACAGGTAACAGAACAGACCAAACTGGAAGGAATTTTAGAGGTCTTCTCATCCAGGGGTCTCCAACCTTGGCAACTTTAAGATTTGTGGACTTCAACTCCCAGAGTTCCTCATCCAGCAAAGCTGGCTGAGGAATTCTGGGAGTTGAAATCCACAAAGTTGCTAAGAAAATTTTCTGGAAAGGTTTTGAATTCAGCACTCATTTGTTGCCGTCCCCATGGGTTTTACTCTTTACCCAAATTCAGGTGTGTGGATTGTGAAAAGAGACAGACAGAGTGAGACAAAGACAGACAGACAGACAGAGATAGACAGACAGGCAGGCAGTGACAGACAGAGAGATAGAGACAGTTGGACAGACAGAAAGACAAACAGATAGAAACAGAGACAGACAGAAAGACACACCAAGAGAGAGTTAATCAGAGACACACAGAGAGAGACAGTCAGAGATAGAGACAGATAGAAAGATCGTAATAGATAAACAGACAGACACACAGACAGAAAAATAGAGATAGACAAAGATATATAGATGATAGAGAGAGAGAGAGACAAAGACAAACAGAGAGAAACAGACAGACAGATAGAAAAATAGAGATAGATAAAGATATAGATAAGAGAGAGACAGAGACCGAGACAAACACAGAGAGACAGACAGACAGACAGAGACAAACAGATAGAAAAATAGAGATAAAGTTATATAGATGATAGAGAGAGAGAGAGAGAGACAGAGAGAGACAGAGAAGCCCCACTTGGCAAATATGCAAAGCAAAGTGTCCCATTTTCCATCTTTACAACCAGGGAGCCTAAAGGCAAAGAGTTGATTTGGCTGGAGAGAATGAAAACAAGCTGCCAGCCTGAATACGCACAGACAAACTCTCTCTCTCTCTCTGTCTCTCTCTTTCTGTTTTTCCTAACCCAAGCATATACATATTTATTTTTTGCGTAGAGCAGCTATTTTCAGCTGAGTGTGACTTGAAGCTTCCTATTCAGCGTTTCCTCGAATCGATAGTAACCAGTTACTTGTTCCTCATCTCATCAAGACCCATCTGCCGGCTTGATACATAATTAAAAATAAAATTATTGCTTTCCCTTTGATGTTTGCGCCTGCGGAGTTGGGAGAACAGGCAGCAATCCAACCACAGATTACTTAACTGGGTTTGGCAAGCACTAACCCCCCCCCCCCCCCCCCCCCCAAAAAAAAAAACAGATAGCAGGTGAGGGAATATTTATGAGATTCATGAACGTGTAATTTATTTAATCCTCTCTTCTCCTTCTCCTCCTCCTCTTCGTCTCCTCCTCTTCGTCTCCTCCTCTTCTTCTCCTCTCCTCCTCTTCTTCTCCTCCTCCTCCTCTTTTCTCCTCCTCCTCCTCCTTCTCCTCTTCTTCTTCTCCTCCTCCTCCTCTTTTCTCCTCCTCCTCTCCTCCTCCACTTCTTCTTCTTGGCTCAATTTGCTCCATTTAATTACAGGGAGTCCTCAACATACAACCATTCATTTAGTGACCGTTCAAAGTTACGACGGTACTGGAAAAGGGGACTTAGGGCTATTGTTTCCTTGTGACCATTGCAGCATCCCAGCAGTCACGTGATCAAAAGTCAGTTGCTTCACAACTGTCTCATATTTATGACGGTCGCAGTGTCCCAGGGTTACGTGATCCTCTTTAGCGATCTTCTGAAGCCACATTTACTAACTTACCAACTGTGGGGATTCACGTAACAGCTGTGGCAAGAAAGGTCATAAAATGGGGCAAATGTCTTGCTTAGTAACAGAGATGATGGGCTCAATTATGGTTGTAAGTCGAGGACTACCTGCATCGTAAAGGCAAACAAAAAAAACATCTCATTCTGTTTGCAATAGGATAGGTGTGTCTCATTCTGATTTAATTTTTGATCTTATTTGACTACGTTTATAGAGGTGAACCAATGCAGTTGTTAAGCAAATCACGTGGTCATTAAGTGAATCCAGCTTGCCCCTTTGGCTTTGCTTGTCAGAAGGAAGGCCTCAAATGGAGATCATGCCACCTGGGTTGCTGCACCTGTTATAAACACCTTTTGCCAACAGCCCAAATTTTGATCACATGACTTTGGGTACGTGACGGTTGTAAGTGCGAGGATTGCTTTTAAGTCCCTTTTTTCAGTGCTGTTGTAACTTTGAGCAGTCACTAAAAGAATGCAAGTCGAAGCTGGCCTGTAACTGGGTTTGATATCGGAGGGCGTGTGTGTTAATGTTATCCCCCAAATATTATCAGAATATTATGAACAAACAGATGTTGACATTTTCCTAAATGTAAGATTTTTGGTCAAATCTGATGAGAAATGACAGCCTAACATTTTTGGAAACGCATCCAAACGCCTGATCTGCAAAAAAAAAAAAACTTTAAGGAATTTTGCAGGAATTGAGTATGCCTAGCTTAGTGAAGAGAAGGACCAGGGGAGACACGATAGCAGTCTTCCAATAGTTGAGGGGCTGCCCCCAAACAAGAGGGAGTCAAGCTATTCCCCAAAAGCCCCAGAAGGCAAGATAAACGATGGATAAAACGGATCAAGGAGAAAACTTGGAACTAAGGAGAAATTTCCTGAAAGTGAAAGCAATTAACCAGTGGAACGACTTGCTTCCAGAAATTATAAACACTGGAGGTTTTTAAAAAGAGACTGGACAGCCATTTTTATGAAATGGTACAGGGTCGCCCTCTGCTTGAACGGGTTGGACTAGAAGACTAGAAGACCTCCAAGGTCCCTTCTAACGCTGTTGTTCTCTTTTATTCCATTAAGGAGCTGTTTTGCATGCAGTGGCTGAAACCTGGGCAGGTATCTCACTGCCAAACATGAGCGTGATTCAAATGACCTGTTTAGCGGTTGTAGGCCTGCTTCCAAATTTCTCCACTGTGAAAATCACGCCCGGGTCTCTCTGTGTTTTGCCAATAGCAACATTTGTTCCACATTTGTTTTCAAGCGAAGTGGAGGCCAGGAGCCAAGCTGTTCCCACCGAGGCCTGGCTTTTATGCAGAAATGTCCCTCCAGATGTATAAATAAGCCACTTTAGTATTCATGCTCCTCAGCTCCATATGGATGGGTTGAAGACCTACCTACTTACCGTACGCATAAATTAATGTGCGATGCAGATGATACGCAAGACGAGATCTGGGCGACAAAATTCTCTGAATTCAAACAAGCCACCTTAGTTTATAAGCTGTGGTTGTGATTGCAATGATGATGATGATGATGATGGCAAACTCACAGACAAAGGATACCTCCTGTTGCGTATGTCGGCCACTTCTCCCCTGCTATGTGGCAAGGGAGATGTGGAGATGTTGCAATTTTGGCCCCGTCTTTGTTGTGGTTAGCCGGCAGCAGGTGCAGATGGCTGAGGAGAGCGAGGACTCAGGTGGATTGCTGCCTTCAGAGATTGTGGGGACTGGCAGCAGTGATGAGGAGGTTCCCGAGGAGCCTGTGCCAAGTGCACGTGCACGAAGGATTGTTTGCAGGAAAGAGCAGCTACAACAGCATGGATAAAAGCCAGCTGTGAACGAACGTACTTTGCAGAAGGCAAAGACGTTTTGAAACTCTAGCCTCATGGACATTCCAGTATCCTGAGTTTGTATTTGAATATTTTTGTCTTGCAAATTATTTCTTGTCTGTTATCTTTTGGCAAGCCTCACACAGTTTGGCAAGGCTTGTGCTTATCACAGCTAATTATTTTGTAAAAGCATTACAAGGTTTTTGTCCCTTTTGGATTGTGTTTGATTTGTCGGGAAAGGACGTGGGTCAGAACACTCTTGTGGTAGCCACAAATGGTGTCAGTTGGCCAGTCTCTCATTCCTCGGCCATTGAAAATGG